AACATGAATCAAATATTTATCTTTATTCATTTACAATAAACTCATAAAGTACATCATTCTGATTGAAGCTAAGGGCATACAAAACTGTCTAACACAAATGAAGTAGTGAAAAGAAAAGAAGGAAAAAGAAAAAGATGTCTAAGAAAAATATGAAGAACAAAATCTAAAAGAATGTCAAACTGAATCCCCTTTTACAAGAATAATACTTAACATGTAGAGTAATGATTTTCATAAGAGAATAGTTTCATCATATTGTATAAAATACAGGAAACAAATTGTATAAAACGTAAATCACGTTAGGGTTGTGTCTTATATTTTCAACCATTAGATAAGGTTGTAATCTAATAGTTAGTGCGGTGCCTCCTTTAGGTTAAGGTGGGTTTTATATATAAAAAGTACTTTTTTGTATGTAGGGTTTTAAAGAAAGAAGGAAATTTACTGTTTTTCTTGTTGGAGAGAAAAAAAATGAAAGATTGAAAGAAAAAGGGGGGAGGGTGTTTTTGGTATTAGAGTTGGTTCCTTTTTCTTGTTTTGTTCTTCATGTTGAAGGAGGAAAGAGAGAACAGGGTACAAGGGTTATGAATTGGTTTGGGTTAAAAGGGACAAAGTAGTAAGGGCAAAAGATTTAAACATTTTTGTATGCTTGGTAGTGCTTGTTTTTATTAGTCTTTAGATTTCTTTATTTTTAGGGTTAATTACTTATATATACCCTATATATTTAAGAATCTACTGAAATGTTCCCTCAACTTTCAAAACCTACTTATACATACCTTGTTGAACTCTCACAAGTGAAGTCTAATAGATAAAATGTAAAAAATAAAAATACCTTTAACTGTTCACTAATTTTCAAAATATTCCATTTTCTTTTTCTATTTCTGTTTTTTTCTTTCTTTTTTCTTCCCTTGGAAAAGACAGATTCCTTTTTTCTTCTAAGAGCTAAGAAAGGAAAAGGAGATTTTCCGATGAAATGGGGTAATACCAATATTACCTCCTTAATTGCCTTTTTAAATCTTCCTTTTGCTTCTAACTACCCAACTATTTATTAGTCATTTGATTGGGATAGATTTTTTAGTTTTTCCTTTTCATGTATAACAGGTTAAATAAATGTGACCATTGCTTAGCTCAACCATATCTCCCAAGAGACCATATATGAGGTCAGAAAGACATAGACAGACAGAAACTCATCACCTTTGTGCTCACTCTCACTATTGACACAAATGGTATTTCAGTGATCTCTGCCACGAAGAGACAATCTTTCACCTTTGTTTAAAAGGTCGATAGCTTGGTTTGTTTTGAACAAAACCGCCATTATTCCCTGCACTAAAAATAGAGTAGAGAGCTCTCTTATCATGTCTAAGCCTCAATGGTCACATATATTTAACCTATTCAGTGAAATAGATGAAATTAAAAGGAAAAGCTCAGAGGAAGGAAATAAACCTTCTCTAGAACTCAAGATCTAAGCTTTAGCACTATGCAACTTTTTCCAATATTGTGGTTGTCGCATCTGTTGGGGTTTTTTGTTAATCTTAGATTAATAATTTTATTATTTTTTTGGGGTGTTTTGTTCATCTCAAGAAGTCATTTGGTTCTGAGTTTTGGAATGGTTTTTTGTCATAAAATTTAGGACAACATTGATATTATGGAAGTATTTGGAGTAAGGTATTAACGGCACTAAACAATACACTAACGATGGTCTTATTTATGTTATGTGGGGCCAGACAACATGGTATGTAAAAGGAGCTAATCCAGATCACCTGCCAACAGAATACGTCCCGGCATTGAACCAACATCATCTAACATCACACATATTATGCATGATGAGTCACACTTTTATGATGGGCCCTAGTTTCATGGTGAGACATGTGATGTCAGATCAAGTTGGAAGGGTGTTGGAACTTATTTAATTTGTTGGCATGAGATACATACATTTAAGTAGGCTTTAGAAGTTCAAGCTACATACATTTAAGTAGTTTCCTGAATGTACAGGGAATATAGAAGTAGATAACCCTTATTTTTATTGCTTGGATGCTTTTTATTGCTATTTCATTTCAAATACTATATAGTTTTGTCATGTGGGTGGATGTTGTAAACCCAACATGTAATAGGAATATTATGGAGGTCGCTAAATCTCAACTAGAGAACTAAAAGTGGCGTCAAAAAAGATAAAAAACTAGAGAACTAAAATTCTTTAACCAATTAAATAGTACTTTGAAGACATTTACTACTCATAATTGTACACGCATCTCTCTTCTACCACAATAAAATGTTAGGTTTCATATGGTTTGGAATTCGAAGTACTAATCCTCAAAAAGAGAGAGAAAGAAACAGAGAGAGAGAATAAAAAGTGTGTTATTGGGTCCTGTAATTGAGCTTTTCAACTGAATTGGGCCCGGCCTGTTGGGGTCCATAAATGCCCATATTTTATATGCACCTCGATATCTCTTCAAATGTTGAAAGTGGTAGTTGAAAACAAAAAAAGAAAGTAAAAATCAAATCAAGAACCCCGGTCGAATATGATGAATGTCTCAACCCACTAGCAGTTAATCTAGCAGAATTAGCATCGTTCAGGACAAGGTGATGAAACATTTTTAATGTAAATTTACTTCTCTTTCTTGAGCCTAAATATGTGGAATTACCGAAAAGAAGAACCTAAATTTGTCCAATATTAAAAGCATTAATTGAACATAACTGTAAGTTTAGGAAGAAGAAAAAATTACTATGGTAGGAATTGAAGTTTCTACTTTTTGGAAGGAACTGCTACTTCTTGTGACCTAAAACGGGAGAAACAAAGAATGCATTCAACTTCCCAGCTGACTTTGGTTTAGCAATTTGACTAAAAAGAAGTTGAAATAAAGGCATATGGTCAGTCAGCCAGGTCGATCAGTGGGTGAAAAGTGCCTCCCTTTTCTCTAAGTCATCTTGTATATAAACTGTCACCTGTTTCAGGAAGTTCTAGTTAGACCCAGAGAAGAAAGGAGATCCAGGAAGTGCTAGGATAGGATCATTAGGCCATGGGGAGACCTCCTTGCTGCGATAAGGTTGGTATCAAGAAAGGACCTTGGACACCTGAAGAAGACATCATCTTAGTCTCTTATATCCAGGAACATGGACCTGGTAACTGGAGATCAGTTCCTACAAACACCGGTAAGATCACAAAAGACTTAGTATCATCATCATCATCATCATCATCATCTTCTTCTTCTTCTTCTTTGACTTCGTCTTCACCATCATCATCATCTTCATCTTCTTTGACTTAGTCTTTGTCTTCATCTTCATCTCCGTCGTCATCTTCTTCACTAATTAGAAAGTAACAAACCTAAAGGCTCTCTCTCTCTCTTCTTTTTTTTTTTTTTTGAAGGGTGAAGGGGGAATTTATTATTGATCAGAAAAGAAAGGAGGCATGAAACCTTACCCTAAAAGCCTTCTCTTTTACATCTTAGGAAGCTATTTTTGTTTCACTGAACTTTTTGTACTACATGGTTTTGTGGAAAATGATCCTTTGTATAAAATTAGAGAGGAGTGTTTGATTATTATGAGTCTCTGATGATTACCGGTTTTTGTGAATCCCAAGGCTTGTTGAGGTGCAGTAAAAGTTGCAGGCTTAGGTGGACTAATTACCTAAGACCAGGAATCAAGCGTGGGAACTTCACTCCTCATGAAGAAGGGATGATAATACATCTACAAGCTTTATTGGGTAACAAGTAATTCTCTGAATCCTATCTACTAATATTTTAAATCAAGACTTTCATATAATTCAGCTGTAAAACTAAAAAAAAAAATAGCACTGCTTTATTTGAAGTATACAAGCACAGGAGAAGCTCTAATGCAATTATAATAATAAAGATTAGAAAATTCTTTTTTTTTTTATATTTGTTTCTCTTTTGATTTATTTTTCTTTACTTGTCCACAGATGGGCAGCGATAGCTTCTTATCTTCCACAGAGAACAGACAATGATATCAAGAATTACTGGAACACCCACTTGAAGAAGAAAATTAAGAAATTTCAAACAGCTTTGGATCCTCAACTAGTATCCAATTCAACCAACCGTCACCTTGTTTCCAAGAGCTACAGCGACAAAAGGAACTTGGATATCAACAACCATGTCTCACTTCTCAGGTTAAATCAGAGCTCCACCTATGCTTCAAGCACAGAGAACATCTCAAGACTCCTAGAAGGATGGATGAGGTCTTCCCCAAAGTCCAATAATGGCAGAAAAGACCAAGAGAAACCTCACCAAAGCAGCAGCAGCAACAGCAATACTAACAAAAACAACAATAGCAATAGCAACTCGGTGGCAGCAGCCCCTTTTCAATGCAACCAGGCAAAAGTTGAGCAAGAAAACAACTGTGATATCATTTCACACGAAGAGTTGGAGTCTCTTCTATCCTTGGACAACCTGAACAACATATCGTGGGAGAAGTCATCCTGTGACTCTACTCTTCAGGGTTCTCAAACCACTCCAACAGATGAAACACTTGACTGCACCTCCGAGAGGGTGCAAAGATTGGAGAATCAGGCTCCATTATCTTTGCTTGAGAAATGGCTCTTGGATGATTCCACTGGACAAATGGAAGAAATGATGGAAGTGGAATTGTCTCCAATATTCTGAGATCCCATCATCTCATCTGTTGCTCTCTAATTTCTGCATGAATAATGAATTTCACCAAAGAGAGAGAGAGAGAGGAAAAAAAAAAAAAGGGTCATTGCATGAACAATCAAATGTTGAATTATTTGTTTGGGTTCTAGGAAGTTGAGATTTCTCCAAAAATGTAGGATAAGTTAATGGATCGATCTGTATCACTGCAATAAACCATTTTACATTTCTATTTGAATGTCAAATAATACGCAAAATTAACCAATTTAGCTTTCCTTTCCATGTGTGATTGCAAGTGGGTACTTATGTACGTTATTTTGTATGATATGGGTTTCAATCTCCTTACCTCTGTATTTAGTTAGCTGAGTTAGCTGGTTAGTGACCACCAATTAATGTTTATCTTACACATTCGATTTTACGAAATGAGGATGCATATCAGTATATCACCTTCTTCCACTGTATGTCGCTGATTCATTGAGTTGTAGCACGGGTCCATGTGGACCCAAAGGCAGAATGTAGCTAGCTGACACATGTAAAACAATAAATAAATGAGAGGAAGCCCCATTTATTGATACTATTTCTCAATGCTCAATAAGAGTAAAAGGTTACCAACCCCGATTCAGCTATTCATTAAAACGATTGCAGAGACTATTGCATGGTCCCCAATACAAATGTGGGATCAGATGCATTCTGGTTGGGCCGGAATTAAATTGGTTAACGTGTGCACTCCTACCCTTTTTTTTTTTTCTTTCTTTCTTTCTTACAACATGGATTTGTGTTGTTTTAATTGCTTCAAGGTAAAAAATATTCACCTGTGAGTGGAGAGGGGAATAATGGCCATATAAGGGAAGGACCTTATGTAACGCAAATCCTGCAATTTAATATGGTAACTGCCTGTTTTGAGGCAGTTTGGATGAGCTGGAGACAAAGTCATACACATTTGGCTGAATTACCTATCATGGTTGAACATGCTAGTATTCAGTACAGCTGGATCTCAGAGTGAACACTGGCATGTTCAACCGTGATAGGTAGTTCAGCCGGGTGTGTATGTTTTTATCTCCGGCTTATCGGTTCCCGCTTTGAGGGTGCTCTTCTTTCTAAGGCATAACGCCATGCAAATTAGGTGCCCTCGTCAATGGGGTTTGATAACAATTAAAGATGCTGAATTGAAAATCTTATCATTTTGTATTTTAGGCATAAGATTTTATGGAGGTTGTGGGCTCCTTAATTGCTGAAACGGAAGTTATTCACTAGGAAAAATCTATGGTGCCAGAAAGACATGCATGATACCAAAAAAGGCTTTGACCAATCATAGTCACCTGTGAATTTTGATAAATACCCGTCTCATTTTATAATGCCGATTGGTTGGTTGTAAGATTTTACGGTATCATTTCTTTCGGGCATCATAGTCGAATCCTATTCACTATAACTTTGAAAGATTTATTATTTCATTATTTTAACAACTTATAAAAGACAAAGCAATAAAATTTCAGTTCAGCAATTTCAGCCGTTATGATCAAATGGCCCCTAATTAAGTTAACAAGATTGAGAGTTTGAGACTCACCATTACATGGGTCCAAAACTAAAGCAAGGCTACACAAACTAAAAAAGAAAAAAAAATCATAATAATCAAATCATCCCATGTTTGTTTAGAAATTAAGTTAGAGCTATTTAATGATGGGTCCAGATACTCTATAAATTTGAAATGGTCAATAAAGGTATGGCAACCTCATTGCAGTTATGATGAGGCACCCCCAGTACAGTCTGTTTTCTTTTGGGAAGTTCATAGACCCGATACATGTGATCTCTTGACCTTTTGGCATGAAGAGCTAAATTACTGCTTAAAGGGCTGGGATGAAGAATTCTAGCATGAAAATTGAAAATTTAGATTGCTTTTAATTAAAGAGGATTTTAAAGATACAATGCGTCTTGATTTTCATTTTTTGGGTCATTTACTAGAACATCCCCAATGGTTTCATGAATTTACTTAAACCTACCTTATAGTTTTTATTTTACTAAAACACTCCCTATAATTTGCAACCTATTTACTTATTCAATATTTCGCTATGAAGTGTTTGGTTTTCCATCCGAAAAATAGCAATATGATAACCTAAAAGTGAGTAGAAAATGTTCAAGAGAATGGGGCCATGATTGTTTATTTCAAAAGTACCCCTAAAACTTCTTCGATAGAAAACAAAATTGAACAAATAGGGCCAAAAGTTGTCATCTTCCATTATCATCTAATGGAAGATAGATTAAATAAAGGGTCATTTATTAGAACATCCCCTATGGTCTGCATTTTACTAAAACACCCCTTATAGTTTGTAACCTATTTACTTAATCAACCTTTCATTAAGAACTATTTGTTTTGCCATATGAAAATAGTAACATGGTCACCTAAACGAAGTGAAAAATGTTTAAGGGCACGGACCTATGGTTGTTTATTTCAAAAGTACCCTTAAACTGAGTGGAAAATGTTCAAGGGTCTGGATCTATGGTTGTTTATTCCAAAAGTATCCAAACAATTTTTTGTATAGAAAACAAAACTGACCAATTAAAGAAAAATAGTTGTTGTCCGTGTTTTGTTAGGGGCAAAATGGCATTTTTGTTTTTAATTTCTTTTGGTTGAATTTATTTGAATGGATGTTATTGTTAAAACTGTCACTTTTCACTTTCATCTAATGGAAGGCCAATTAAGTAAATTGATTACAAACTATAGGGAATTAGTTAAACACAAACTATAGACTAGGTTTTAGTAAATAGTAAATTTATAAAATTATAGGAGTATTTAAGTAGTATGACCCATTTTTTCATCTATAATGTTTTCTTTATCAGCCACATAATTTGTAAATGTATATGTGAAAATGGTCAAAAGTCAAAACTAGTGTCTTCAACTATGGTTGGCCCTGGCGTCTAACTGGTATGACCTAGTGGTCACAGACACAGTCTCAGCCTAGTCAACCTCTAACCCGCCATGTTACAAAACCCGTTCACCCGGTCATTGACCCATCAACCCATCGCTTGAACTGTTCACCCACATGACCAGTTCAACAGGTTTATCGGCTTATTGGTTTTACCTTTTTCTTTTTATTTTTTATATTAATGATATCACGGTTTGATCCATTGATCCTATAAGGTACTTCATTTTAATTATTGTTATTAATTGAATTACTATTATTTACCATGGCTCTTTAAAAGCCTATTAATTTTAATTTATAATTCTGTTAAAAATCCTGTACATTACACGGGTTCCGACTAATTTATATTAATTCATGTTAATTAAAAGTACTAACTAGGAATAAAACAGGAATCGTATGTAAAAATTAAGAGACCCAAAATGTCGATCCAAGACCTACCCGCTGACCTAGAGCGATAATAGAATGTCCAAGGAAATCAAGAACTTTGGTCCCAATTATAAAAATGGTCATGATCAACTACCGAATTAGTAGGGGTGAACATTCAGTTTATTTGGTTAAAAACTGAATCGAATAAACCAAATTTTTTAAAATCGAATTAAAAAATTGAAAATCAAACTGAAATCGAATTACAATAAAACTAAAATAACTAAATCGAAATTTTCAGTTTGATTTTTGGTTGTTTCGGTTAAAATACATTATATATAATATATTAATATATAATAAATTTTATATTATATATTAATATATAATAATTTCATTGTAATAGAATAGCTGCAACCTCCGGTCGTTGACCACCTGTTTTCCCCGTTTAATGCTTTGAGTTTCACAAACAATGGGTCATCCTCACTCTCAAACCTCCTGATGAACATGATAAAGTCCATGTTGTACATCTTTAGTTGCTTGCATCCTTGAAAACTGGAAAAAAAGAAAAGCTGAGAAAATGTTTTGACATATTGAGCAGATTACTCCGAGTATAGCTAGGTATATGGGTTGTAATTGTAGGATTGGTTGTGCATTGTTGTTGTGATGTGGAAGGGGTGGAAATAGGTTGATTATGTTGCAATTCTTGGCGTAACTCTTATGCATTTTTGTGGAAGGAAAAAACAAATACTAAGGCTCAGTTTGGAAGGAGTACAAATGTAAATATGTAGAGTACAAAACCTTATATTTTATATTATCTTGTATGCATTTGCACTGTACATATTTGCATTTGTACTCTTTCCAAACTGAGCCTAAGGGTGTATTCCTTATGGTAGACACTCCACCTCAACTTGGGTTTTGGAGATATAGTAAAGGAGAGGGCAAATGGTATCATAAATTAATAACTAAATGCCAACAACAGGAGTAAAGTGTTGGAATATAAATGTACAGGGTAGCTTCCCATCATAAATTGGGGTAAATTATGAAGAACTACCCTTTACTTTGGGAATTATGATAGTCCCATAAAAGTTATTATATCTGGGCAAAATGGTATCATAAAAGTTTAATAATAACGAAATGCCAACAACAGGAACAAAGTGATGGAATATACAAGTACAAGGTAGCTTCCTATTGCAAATGAAAGTTTAGAGAGTATCATAACTCCCAAATTACATGATAGTTCTTTATAGTTTACCCAAATTTCATGCAACAAAAAAACTTAAGCAATTTATATTTTGACATCGGAGACTACAAAACTACCATCTTCTAGGACTAGAATCATGTTTTCAAAGATAAATGTCTTTTTATGAAGAATATTTTCCATTGACATTTATGGGGATGAAAATAGATCTGGATTGGATTTGAATCAGGGTATATTCAAATTTGATCTAACAGTATAAATAGTAGATCTAAAGATCCAATTGGATCTTACAAACACTGATTCGAATTCAAATCCATTAATCATGTTGGATATCTGAATATGATCCGATCTGATTTCATTTCTGAAAATTTAATATATATATATATATATATTGACGTTACGCGATCTCGTGCTCCTTGTTGGAGGACAACTCAAATTCCAGGCTAGCAAGGTCATCTGGTCTATATATATATATATATTGACGTTACGCGATCTCGTGCTCCTTGTTGGAGGACAACTCAAATTTTGGGCTAGCGAGGTCATCTAGTCTCTATATATATATATATATTGACGTTACGCGATCTCGTGCTCCTTGTTGGAGGACAACTCAAATTCTGGGCTAGTCACCTGGTTGAGCTGCAAGAGAACAATATCAGAGTACTCGGGTTACTTTACCTGGGGTTGCTACTCTGATGCTTAAGTTAGCGAAGAGTGTTTGAAAGCTAGAAAGCAAGATAGCTAGGGAGCTGTGGATGCTAAATCGCGTGCACCTTCTCTGATCAAAGA